TGTATTTTTTAGAGAACTTGTCTGTAGCCATTCAATAGTTGTTGTGATATGTTTAAACACGTTTTGTTCACAATCCACCTGTACATGTATGAACTAGAAGCCTCCAGTTAAGCCGATTATGTTCCTTATGAATGTTGAGGGATGTAGAGTAAATTCAAATAAATAACTAATAAAGAACACTTGTGGTGGTGGTGGTGGTTAGGTGCCGTGGAGAAGGTGCGAACTCCTAGCAACCCTAAGCACAATCAAACAGAACACTGCCTGTGTGTGATCCAGCCTTCTCTTCTGCTGACTGTATACCTGGGATTGGGGTGGCTGAGCCATATAGCAATTCTATGTTCAACTTTTTGAGAAATCACTAACCCGTTTTCCACAGTGGCTGTACCATTTCACATTCCTATTAGCAATGGATTAGAGTCCCAGTGTCTCCACTGTCTCACAAACACTTTTTGTTTGTTTGATCATTGTTGCTCCAATGGTGGTGAGATGATATCTCATAGTGGTTTTGACATATAACTCCTTAACGAGCCACAATCAACTTTCATGGAAGCAGCAGTCAAGATATCAAATGGCATATTGCATTGGACAAATCTGCTGCAAAAAAGACCTTTTAATGGTGTTAAAAGGCAAATATGGTACTTGGAGAATTAAGGTGTGCCTGACTCAAGTCATCTTATTGTCAATCGCTTCATACTGGTGTGAAAGATGGACAAAGAATAAGGATGACTGAAGAAAAATCCATACCTTTGAGTGGTTGGGAAAGAATACTGAATATAGCTCAGACTGCCAGATAAATGAGCACACCTGTCGTAAAGCTGTCTTAGAAGATGTGTATCCAGAATTCTCTTTAGAAGTAAAGATGGCAAGAGTTTGTTTCATGTACTCATGCGGAGGGACCAGTCAGTGCTTGGAGAGAGACAGCCTGCTTGGTAAAGCAGAGGCTCAGTCAGAGTAGTGGCGGTCCGTCAAAGCCATGAGGTGGATTCACACGGCAGCTGCAACAGGGAGCTCAAACTTAGCGGTGAGTGTGAGGATGTCTGTGTTTCTTTCTGTCGTTTCCTCCCTTTTCTTTTGGCCTCTAAGTTTCCACCTGGCTTTCTGGCTTCTCGTTCTCAAAACCTCCTCCCCAAACCAAGGGGTTGATGTCAACTCACTGTGGCCTTATAGTGCAGGGTGGAACTGTCCCTGTGGGTTTTTCTGAGATGAATTCCTCACAGGAGTAGAAAGCCCTGTCTTTCTCTCAAGGAGCTGCTGGTGGTTTCCAATGGTTGACCTTGAAGTTAGAAAATCAATGTGGAACCACGACTCCACCAGGGCCCCTTGGCTTCGCTTTATTTCAGGTACATCCAAGAAGCCTGAATGCCTGCTCTTTATCTTTTTTGCTAGAGCAGGCTGCTATCTCTGAGTTACTCAAGAATTAAGGCTTTTTGCTTTGTCTTCTTTTGTAAAGCCATGCCTCTCCTCCTCCAGCTAGCATTCTTCCTGCCTGCCTGCCTTTCAATTACTGCCTAATGAAATGTTTGAGAATTTCTAAGAGTGGACAGAAGGTTGAAACAAAGCTCGAGAGTCACTGCAGCATGACAGTGCTTATTCTAAAGAAGATAGGACAGCATAGGGGTTTTATAGTCCTAGAAGCAAAGGAAGTTCAGCTGGTTTCAATCTTTTGGCGCGTCCTCACTACCCCTGAATGCCCTTTCGTCCTCAGAATTGTGTCTGACTAACAAGACCAGTGATGCAAGTCATGAGCGGTCAGTGTGTGGCGACACAGGTGTCCTCATAGCTAGGTGCCTGCTTGCCTGGAGTGTGGGAACTGAAATTATTGGGCTAGATAATTAAGATAAAGAAACAAGATAAAGAAACAAACTAGTTCCAAGATTTAAGAATTTAGCTTACTTATTATCTTAAACTTAAGCCCTGTGAAGCCGAGTGCTGGCCATCCTTTCTGAGTGAAATGTCCTCAGTTTTACATTTAGTTTTCACCCACCACATCTTGAAACCGAAAACTGTAACTCAGAAGCTGTTGCCACAAACTGTCGCATAATAAGCAAGGACAAATCTCCCTGGCCTACAGTAGT